GAATGTTTTGGAATAAGCAATAGGGCACTTACTCGAAAATTTCAAACCGTTTCAAAGAAATGGAACACCCTTTGAGGAGGCTGGAATATTTAGTTTAAATCAGTTTCAAAACAAGTTTCAATCACTAATTGCGAAAAGAAAGCTGCGAACCAGTGAAACACTAAGGAAACATTGTCAAAAGACGAGAAACGGCTCATTAAAATGAATGAATTGAACATGTCGCCTAACGAAAAAACCCTGAACTGAACAGTTGGAAACTTTATACTAATTGGTCACTCATTTTTTGAAAAAAATCATGACCAAAATAAAGTTAAGGCAATAGTTCTGAAGCATTTCATGACCGTGAACTGATAAACGAGAACGTATCAAGGAAATGATTTGAAAAACAATCGCGATGCCTAATGAAGGTGGAGGACGTAAGCATGAAGATATCAATATGAAAGTGAGTATTATTTGATGATTATGACTGAGCGATTGATTCATCCAGACAAGCGAAACGATCCAATTTGCGATTTAAAACGTTAACGATTCGTCGCCGTTCATTCTTGCGTTCGGAATTGCTTCTTCTTCTTGCCAATCGTCATGCGGTTGCGTTGTTTTTGTAACGGTTACATTCGGATTCTCTTCAGCTTCTTCGTCGACACCATTGGTTTCAATGTCTTCCGGAGCAGCAAAGCCTTCCTGCAATCGAACACAAAAATTCAATATGAAGTTTTCGAAGAAACGATTGCTGAAAATTCTTCCTTCGTGAAAATTGCAAACGGATTTTAAATGGTCAATCATCAGTTTGTGACGATCTCTCACCTCAACTTCGTACAATACATCGAAGATCGGTTTCGTTGGCACTTCCGCATTTTCGCCAGCATTCTGACAATACGTTTCAATCTTTTGCAATTTCAAGAAATAAAAGTTACGTTCCTTTTCGATTGATTCTATAGCTGTTGAAGCTTCCTCCAGCTGAAAGAGTCTATCTTAATCAATCGGAACCCGATAATATCAACAATGAAATATTCGCAATATGTAACGAATTATAATAAGAGTGTTGGCATGAAGAAGCAATAATTTTGCGGAAAAATTGTTAATGTCGATCAAAAGATTAAACTTGTGCAGTCATACGCTCAGTACATTCACAGAATCTAGACAACGCTTCAAGCAAAACCTGA